ACATGTAAATAAAAAAATTCTTAAGATGTAGGTTATTACGGAAAATTGCAGAATCTTTTTCCCTGCCGATCTTAAAGAACAGAAGGAAACTTTTCTGCAGGAAAAACCACCTCAAAGATGCCTCCTGAAGAATACAATTGTGATGCTCCACTTCTCCAACTGTGAGACTCTGGCAAACTTCTACTGATGATTGATGCATACAGTGACCCGGACAGTAAAAACTATACCTCAAAAATTCGAAAGTTCTTTACTGCAGAGCTATGAGTGAAAGATGCTGGCCATTCCCATCAGGATGCTGACTTTCCGTTTGGTTCATGAGATTAACAATGGTTTTGTTTTTTGCAATAACAACCTTCTGTTGCTCTACCTTTTCAGTAAGCTTGCCTGGCTTTGCCTTGGCCGTGGCTTTGCTCTGCCTTGGCTTTGCCTTGCCTTTCTTGCCTTGCCTTTGCTTTCTCTCAGGTTGCAAAGCCTTTTGACTCAAACCTCTCACGTTTCCAGCTCACCTTCACTGACTTGAAGACTCATGTCCTGAATAAAGCCTGGAAGGAGATCCCACTTAGAAGGACCATATCAATTCCTGCTCATAACCAAGACAGCTGTTCAACATGGCCGAACAAGGTTGTACTCAATATACCTAAATCCATGTTGCTCCAGCTTCCTATCAGAGTGAACAATGGACAGTAGTCCTACACTCCACTCTACAAAACTGACTCTCAAAAGAGCCTAATAATTTTCCTGCTCCTAGTGTCTGTAAAGCCTTCTAGAGGGGAGGCCCTGGTTAAACATCACCTAGCCTCTTAATGCTCAGGTGATAGCTTGATGCTTGTCAGGTACTGCCTTGTGGGGACCTATGTCTAGATGGGAAACTCTAAAACTCATAGTCATTGCCATAAATTGAGCATCCTTAGCTCTAAGACCTGGGGAGATGCTTAACTGGGGCTTCCTTCTCAGGAGCTGAGCCCATAGACAGATTCAAAATCCATAAACCCTCCTACACCTAGAAGAGATGAGAGTCCCAATGCTCCCTCAAATGACCCCACTAAGGTAACCATGGTGGAGGGAAAGAATTTGAGACAGAAATTGAAACTGGATACAGGGAAACTAATAACTTGGGTAGAACAGATTAAATAATCTGTCTACACATTAAAAATACTTGTGTGGCAGAGAGGCCAGAAGCTCAAGTGGTCTCATTCCTGCTGGGATAAACCTCAGACTCCACAGGCATATCTAAACAGGAAGACATGGCCTAGGGAAATTCTTCTAGTAAGAACCTGTCATTGATATTCCTAACAGTTAAGAGTCGAAGATGAAAAACTCCTAAAGCTGTTTGGCCCCCTTCTCCCAAGACTAGTTATATTCCTTGCCTCACTATGTGAGGGGAGCAATTGGCATTTCTAGGCAACTTGTCTGGAAGTGGTGAGGGCCAGTCCTTTGAGGAGATAAACAGCACTAACATCAGCTAGGGAAGATGTCTGGTGGTGGTATTGAGAGGATTACTGTTGGGAACCTTATTGGCCAAATGGAGTGGACCCTGCACTTTGGTTCACTTGGTCGTCCCTTTCACACTGGCAATTCTGTCAACCTGATTAGTCTCAAACAAACATCTATACCAGGTAAGGAGAGACCTTGTCCCTGCTGGATCATTCAGCCCTAATATGTACATAGATGGTATTGGGAAGAGTACCCAATGAGTTTAAAGCTAGAAATCAGCAGCAGGTTTTCAGCCAGTTCTATTCTAGTGGTTCACCATAAATGAAGATGTAGATTTATTACTTTCATTTATTATAATCAACAGAGGTTTGTTAATTATACTGGAGAGCAATTATACTAGCAGAGCAACTAGACGCCACTGGTAGGATGGCATGGGAAGACTAGCCCTAATAAAATCCCGGGGCTGGGAAGGTGGCTCAGTGGTAGAGCGCTTGCCTTGCATGCCTGAGGCCCTGGGTTCGATTCCTCAGCACCACATAAGCAAAAAGAAAAAAGCTGGGAGTGGTGCTGTGGCTCAAGTGGTAGAGCGCTAGCCTTGAGCTGAAGAGCTGAGGGACAGTGCCCAGGTCCAGAGTTCAGGCCCCACGACCAGACCCCCTCCCCCCAAAAAAGAGATAAAAGCCCATGTGATGATCGGTAGCCAATGTTGTACTCAAGGATTGACCATTCTGGAAAGCCAATGGTTGAAAATTCAGATGACCTACTTACTAGCTTTTCGAACAATGGTTTGGAAAATGAAAAGGAGTCATGCTGCCTATATTTATCTCTTTAGTAACTGTTTTCAGAGTAATGATTGTGATTGGTTGTACTTACATTAAGAGGTCTTCAGAAACTGACGAAAATGACCCACACCAAACACCTCTGTGTGTGTGTGTGTGTGTGTGTGTGTGTGTGTGTGTGTATGTGTGTGTGTGCTGAATGGAAAAATCAATTAATGCTGACTAGTTTGAAGAAAAGACTGTTAGAAGAGAGAAGCCAGACACCAGTGACTCATGCCTGTAATCCTAGCTATACTGGAGGCTGAGATCTGAGGAATGAGGTCCAAAGCCTCCCTGGCAGGAAAGTCCATGAGGCTCATATCTCCAATAAACTACTCAGAAAAAGCCAAAATTGGCACTGTGGCTCAAGTGATAAGAGTGCTGGTCATGAGCACAAAGAGGCTCAGGGACAGTGCCTAGGCCCTGAATGCAAGCCCAAGGACCAAAGGAATGTAAAAAAGAATGGGGGAGGAAGTGGCGCTGTGTCTCAAGTGGTAGAGTACTAACCTTGAGATGAAGAGCTGAGGGACAGCGCCCAGGCCCAGAGTTCAAGCCCCA